TATCACTCACACTCTTGGGTTTATTTTATGTTAATTATATGTGTGTGTGTACATAGCCGCACTGTATGTGTTTTGTTGAATTAGCAATTTTTGTTAAGCGTTAATTGTTTTGTGTAGGGTGGGACAATGTCTGGAATGTTTACTGTGCGCATTAATTGTGCCACTAGTGTAGTCATATGTTCGTCGTCGAAATCACACACACACACACACGCAGGCAAAAAAAAAAATATGAGAAAAAGAAAACAATAGAAAAAATCTACAGGAATTTAGATAAGTTTCTTGGACTCCGCACTTGTCTCCGAAGTAATTGGCGTTTGTTTTGTTGTGCAGGAAGCGTCAGGGCCGTTGGCAGAGATAGATTCAGCTGCAGTCTGCTGCACTTCCTCAGCGCCAGAGGTGGCGCCCTCGGCAGCTGGTGGGTTCTTCTCCTTGTTGCCACCGGGCACAAAGGGGCAGACGCCGCCCTTGCATTCGAAGGGGAATTCCGGTCCGGCTTTGATCACATTGCCCTGTGCATCCTTTTTCTCCCACGGATTCCAGTAGCGCAGTAGAATTGGCTGCACGAACTTGTGCCAGATGTACAGCAGCAGCGGGATGATGAAACAGGGCACGCAAACCATCTTGCGAGTGGGTGCAGGTAATTGGTTATGGAATGCAAAGGCCTATAAATCGATCAAAACATCAATTCAGTGTTAATTAGTGCAACTCACCTTGTTAACACTTGTGTGGTCTTCTTCTATCTTTTGATTTGGAATCAATGTGACCAAGTACGCTGAGGCAGTAAGTCGACAAATTACGCGCTACAAACAAAACCGATATGAATAATAATATCCACAAATAGATGCGAACAAATTTATAGAAACTCATTTATATAAAAATTGGCAAGAAAAGAAAAGAAAACAAAAGATAATTATATTAACTCAATGCTACTTAACTATACTTTAAGCTAACCTAGTCCCGGCTTCAAAAATATATAATATCCTACAGCTAAAGACTTGATTAGAAACAATATACTGCTTTTGCCAGACTCAAACCTGAACTGACTATATAAAGTTCTACAGCTTTTAAGCTGCTAAAATTGATTGCACAGCCTACTGTGATATAAAAACACAATGAGTTCGCAATAAAATTAGCAAAATCAAGATCACTTTGATTAGCTTTAAAAATTCAAATAATATTGATTTAAAATCCAGCCATTGGTGGCAGCTATATTCCTTGACGATTTTGCAGCTGCAGCATATCTTTTTATTAAATTAAATATATTCATCGAAAATTCAAAACAATGCAGCAGAGTGACCAGTTTACCATTGAGCACTTGTGACGTCACGAGCTATTAAAATATGGCTGCTGCTTAATATGCAAAACAAAGTTTATCATAAGATAATCAATTATTGTCCATACTGATTCTTTGTTGTTTCATTTATCTGCTTTCTTTTTAAATAAAAAATTAAAAAGTTAACATCACTCATAAATGCATCGAAAATTGCCAGCAAATGCGCTAAACAAAATACCAAAAAAAATACCAACAGCTATCGATAATAGTATTTTTTCGCAAACATCAAACTTTTTCGATTTTATGTCAATATTTAAGCCTTTATTGTAGTCACGCGTGGAAAATTTTGCTAAATTCATTTTAAGCTCAGCCCAACAATGGACAACGATAAGGCAAACCCGCCTTGCAGCAATATTCACGACCCGCCTGCAGATTCGTATTCACCCACTGATTGTGGCAGTTCTTGATGAACAAGTAGGCACGCTCCTTGTGGCAATTGTGTCCCAGCGTGGCGCACACAATGTTCGCCGAGTTCGGCAAATGCTGCACAATCTGGAAAGATGGAAAGCGGCTAAAGATAATCAAATCTGGGCGCATCTTTTGGCAATTGGCACTCACCGCCTCGAGGCACTTGGTCTGGCACTGCTTGCGTCCGATGGCATTGCACGGATACATGCGGTCCATTTCATTGTGAATGAGCGGCGTCTCGGGCAAACCGTTTTGTATCTGCGAGGAGAGGAAGACGCCGCAGGTGCAGGGCACCGGCTGATTTAAGTGATCGCCAGGCGTTGGCGGCAATGGCAACGTGTTGTCCGGGCTAGCCGGCGTGCTGCTGCCCGCCTCTAGCTCCGGCTCCGGCTCCAGCTCCGTATTGCTGCTGGGCGTCGTACTGCTTAGCATCCCATTGCCGCTGCTCTCCGTCTCCGGCTCCGTCACCGTCTCCGTCTGCGTCTCCAGCTTGACTAAGCTCTCCGTGGTAGTTGCTCTGGGCGTGCTATTGATGATAAACTCCACAGGCGCCGCGCCTGTGCTGCTTGTGGCGGGACTGTTGGTCGTGCGCTGCCTAAAGCGCTGCTCCTTCACGTAGCTCAGCTTGCCGTGGAGCGGCTTCTTGTAGGCTATCTTGCTGGCCGCCACCAGCTGCTCCCAGGCCACGGCCGCCAGCAGCACCAGCACCACCAGGGACGCCCTCAAACACTTGTTGCATGCTGCAAGTCATCCGGGAGATTAGTTCCTGCCACGCTGCTGCACAAGCTGCACAACTCACCCATCTCGATCTGTTGTCTCGACTCGTCGTTGACTTCTGTTTGCCAATCGTTTGGCTCCGGCGCATTTTATGCTGCGTTTACGACAACGTCTGCACTTTTTTGTTGGACTGACCCCCAAACAGCTAGCTGCGCGCTTCCATAAAGTTCAAGTTTAGGCGCAGCTGCGTCAACTGTTTCTGGCATTGCGTCTATCTGGATTTTGGGTCAAGGCACTCGGAATAGCCGCGTTGCACAAATCCAGTTTCTGGGAATGGAATCTCACAGTTTCATTTCTTTCATTCATCAACTTGTTGCGCGCTTCCCGGGTAAATATGCCGCTCTATATGACTCATAGCTATGTTGTTTAAGCAATTCTTAACCAAACCCATATGCTGAAAAGGGTTAAAAGTATATACATTCTTGATCAGCATCAAATCATAATCCGTCTGTCCGCTTGCATGCATTAACCCGTCTGTGCCAGCGAATATGAAAGCTTGTTAGTATTTTTTTTTATTTATTTCAAATCATCGATAACTCTTCATGAAATCAATAGGAATCGATACCAATATGCGGTTTTTTGAATGCGCTGTTTTTTTTTTATCGCGCTTAATTTTAACATAGATTGCGTTTAGAGCAGCACAGACAGTGCGTAGGGTACGCAGCTTGTGTTTGTGTGTGTGTGCCAGCCGATCGGTATTTATTTTTTTTAGTGACTGTATAATCCGCAGTTCTCGTTATTATAAATAAGTATAGATAATAATACGTGCATATGTGGGCAATTCAGTTTTGAAGTAACAAAACTTGATCTGACAATTATATATTGGTTTTTTTTGTCAATGACAAACAGCCATACATATGTGAACAAAATTTAAAAGATGAAATTGTAAAATTAAATTTTAAATTTGGCGCGCGCTTTTTTTGTACAATGCACGTTGCCAACTATTTCGAATGGCATCGCACGCAGCAATAGTTGCTACCGATATATCGCACGAAAAAAATACCGCACAAAAAACACCAAGCACAGATTAGCAGCGCGATGTATGTGTGTGACCGCATTCTCGAAACGATAAATTGCCGGGCGGCGTTTTTAGTGTTGTTGCTGTTGTTAGCCAATTAAACCAATTTGTGGGGCGATAAGACGGCTGTAAAACGTCGAATTAAGCTAATCAAATCGACGTAAACTTATCGCAGCGACACACAAAGTAACCAGAAAGGCCGCCGTCACCAATTGGAATAGCAGCAACAGCAACAGCCACTGAAAAAGCACAATGCCGCAATACGTACCAATACAGGGCTACAAACAGCTGGAGGATGCGCTCAAAGTGCACGCGAAGAGCAATTGCCTCATCTATATGTATTTCTTTGGGGAGAAGGACAGCAAGGGTCGCAGCTGGTGTCCCGACTGTGTGGAGGGTGAGTGCGTTTAAGATCGTGCTAATAGCCATATATACATATATGCACATATATATTCATGCTGATAAGTCTGCGCACAGTTGAGGAGCTTGTGGAAACGGCGTTTCGTGAAAATGCCCATCCCAATGCGCTGATATACACCGTGGACGTGGGCAATCGCGACGCCTGGAAGGATCGCAGCGACAACAACAAGTTCCGTTTGCCGCCCTACTCGCTCAGCGTGATACCCTCGCTGTTGCGCTGGAACAGTCCCGAGCGCTTAGAGGGCGATCAGCTGTTGAAGCCCCAGCTGCTGGAGCTGTTCTTTAATGAGGCCAAGTCGCAGAGCGCCACCGGGAAGACGGTACCATGCAAATAGTCTGATAAGCGCATTTCTGTAATTAACTGCTTGCTAGAGGTGTGCATGCGAGTGTGTGCGTGTGGGTGTGCGCGAGAGAGTCTGCATCTGTGTGTGTGTGTGAGAGAGCGCAATAAACACGCTGTTGAGTTAAACTCAACAGCAAAATAAAAAAAAAAAAACTCAACTGAAGTCGAGTCGAACTCAATTGCTTGAGATTGCACTCAATTTCGAGGGGCTCGCTTAATAACAGCAACAGCAGCACCAACAGCAGCAGCAGCAGCGACGCCAGCAGCAGCAGCAGCACCAGCCAGCGTTAGCAGCCGCAACCTGGCCGCCTCGACGACGTCGGCGTTTTATTAGCACGCACGTCGTCGGGCAGGACGAATCGTATGGCGCGTCGTCAACAGCAGCAGCAGCAGCAGCAGCAGCAGCAGTGGCAGTGGCAGTGGCAGCAGCAACGGTAAACACTAGAGCGCTTGCTGCCCGTTGCTCGGTTTGGGTTTCGTTTACGGTTTCGGTTCCACTTCCAATTCGTTTCGTTTTGTAAGTGACGCGTCGTTCTGTTTACATGCTTACCGTTATTATCGCAGCATTGTTGCTTGTCAGACCCGCGTACCGTTGTCCGTGCCCGTGCCCGTGCCAATTACTGTGCGTGAGTTCGCGCTCTACAAACAAATAATGTGCATAAAAACAAGCAACAGCCATTAAATATTAGCCAAATCAAATGTAGGTAAAAGGGCTAAAAACACACACACACACACACACAGCGAGTGTGTGTAAAGGGTTGCCGGGTGTGTGTGGATGGAGTAACTGAAGCTCTTGCGGTTAGTTGCGGCAGATTTGCACGAAAGCAGCTTAAACCCTTTTTAAGAGCCGCCAGCGACCCGCACCCCAAACTGGACTCAGCTGTCTGTTGGGGGTGGGGGGTTGGCAGGTGCACAGGTTTTCGGTAGCTATTTGTTTGTTACATTTTATTGGATGAAATTTAGCTGAGTTGTGCTTAGCGGCGAGCCGTCCACATATACCGGCAATAACTGTTGCGCTTTGGCCGAGAGCTCAAGCTCCTTTCAGGCACCCTTCGGCCCACCAATAACCTTCTTTTAAAGACTTAATGCCACATATAGTTTTTTTTTGTGTTTTTTTTTGTCCATGTGCAAATAAATAACACTCGTTCATTTGGCGGCGTGGTGCTAATAAAAGTCTGCGTGTTGTCAAAAAAAAAAATAATAATAATAAAAAATATTTGAGCAAAGTTGGAAGCACATCAACAACAACAAAAAGTAGCATAAATTAAATTAAATCGACAAATACGCTAACGATCGGATGACTTTCTGGTCGTGCTGTGACAAACTCGAGTTGCCCTTGAATATCATTATGTACCGACGGGAACGACTTGTCACGGAAATGATCAAAAACTAGATGGTTTTTTATCGTTTAGCAGATTTAGTTTTACGCCTAACTTTAACTAGTTCACAGCTTACTGTAATTGTAACCAAATTAAATGTTAAAAAAAAGCCATCAAAAGACATCATAAAAAAAGGGTAACAAAATTTTAATCTTCCATTTTTATTTTTATTAAGATATTAAGTCATGTGTTTTCCGATTGAATTATTTAGTTATTGATATTCAAGGATTCTGCTTGTGCTTACAAGTATACGCAATACGAATGAGTATATTCAATAGGAACAAATATATTCAATACGAATGAGTATACTCAATTCGATTGAATACATTCAATACGAATTAGTGTACTCAATAGCAACGAGTATATTCAAATCGAATGAGTATATTCAAAACTAATGAGTATATTCAAATCGAATGAGTATATTCAAAACTAATGAGCATATTCAACGCTAATGAGTATATTCAATACGAATAAGTATATATATAATATGAATAAGTGTACTCAATAGCATAAGTATATTCAATTCGAATGAGTATATTCAGTTTTAATGCGTATATTCAACACTCATGAGTATATTCAATAGCAATTGGTATAATCAATACGATTGATTTTTTTCAATACCAATGAGTATATTCAATAATAATGAATACAGTCAATAGCTATTGGTATATGCAATGCGAATGAGTATACTCAATCCCAAAGAGCATACTCAATATACTCGAATGTTGCTTAACGAAGCACCATACGATTTTTGATTAAATTTTTATATAGACCTTTCAGTTATCGAATCACCTTGATTTATCTTGGGCAACAATTTGCACCCCTTCCACACACACACACACACACACACACACACACACACACACACACACACACACACATACACTTACACACGCACACCCAAAAAATCTGGTAATAGTTCGACTTGCTGTCAACATAGCTTTCGCATTCCAATTTTTAGCCCCTGACATCTTTTTGGCTCATTTGAAAAATCATAAAATATTGAAAGAGAAAAAAAAGAATTTTCAAACGAAATCTATTCGCTTGCCATTTCTTAAGTTGTCTTGCGTCTTGTTTTTGTTGTTGTTGCTGTTGTCGCAGTTTCTTTCAATTTATTTATTAATTTATTTTTTCGCATTCGTTTGTCAATTAAAAACTAAAAATTCTTAATGAGCCACGTAACAGGCCGGACAGGCAATGGACTTGGGATTGGGTTTAGCCGATGGTGATCGTCCATTGGGTGCAGGGGTCTGGGTGGCGGTAGTTCCGGGGTACACACAGTGAGGCCTCTTAATGCGCCAAAAGCAGCGAAATGTCATTAAAGAGCTAATAAAAATTTGAAAAACGAAGAATAAATTATATTAAAGATTTCAAAAATAGCGCACACTTCTGCTTATACAGATGGGTTACTTATAAAGCCCAATCCAACCGCACACACCACCTCACACCCTAAATTCCACACACACACACACACACACACACACACACACATAGACAACCCCCGCCGCCGACCGCGGAACCAAAGTCGGCAAAATGGATGCATAGATATACATACATAGATGGGAATGGATATAGATTTAGTCGTGCATGCGCCAGCCTGATATTGGATTTGCGAGATCATTCCAATGCTCGACTTGTTGTTGTTGTTGCTGTTGTTGTTGTTGTTGTCGTTGTTGTTGTTTTAGATCGCTCAACGCGCTGTTGATTAGCATCGCGTTTTACACACGCGCGCGGCCGCAGTGCAGCTGTGTGTGTGTACGTGCGATTTATAGTGTCATCCAAAATCATAATTTATTAATAATTTCTATACCCACACACACACACACACACACACACACATATGCAGCAGGTGTGGGTGTGCTCACATACATACATATGTATCTACATGTGTGCACATTTGTATCTGTATCTATAACGCTGGCCGAGTAGCTGCGAGCTTTGTATATTTTTTTTATTTAATTGACGCATTTAGTTCACAACAACAACAACAACAACAACAACAGAAGAATATTCAGTGCATATATCAACAATATGTGCCTAGAGTATACATGTGTCTCTCTCTCTGTGTGTGTGTGTGTGTGTGTGTATCGCAGAAAACAACAAATGAGACTGCAAATCAAAAATTCACATCTGATAGATGAACGCTTCCCAAAATTAGCGAGCAGAAGATTATGAATTTGCAGCTGCTGTTCAATTTTTTACGCTTGCCCAACATATCTACGGCTCTTATCTGGCCTGAAGTTGAGAGATCTGCAACATTCGAAATGGTGTACAAGCAGAGAGAGAGAGAGAGAGAGAGAGAGAGAAGGAGAGAGAGAGAGACCGAGAGGGAGGTAGAAAGAGAAAGAGAGGGGCAGATAGAGAAAGGGAGAAAGAGTGGAGAACAGAGAGAGAAAGAGAGAGAGGACGAGAAATAGAAAAAGGGAGAAAGAGTGGGAATAAGAGAGAGAGAGAGCGAGAGAGGAAGAGGAAAAGAGAAAGGGAGAAAGAGAGAAAGAGAGGGAAACAGAGAGTAATAAAGAGAGCGAGAGAGAGAGAGAGAGAGATCGAGAGAGAAAGATAGCGAGATCCAGAGGGAGAGAGAGAGAAAATTAGAAAAAGAGCGACTTCAACTTCCTTTAAAATTGCATTACCATCGGAGTAGAGAGAGAGAATATGAATATAAAAGTATATATACTTAATGAATGATAATACAAAAATAAATACAGAAAGAAAAATGCAGAACTAACTAACAGTTACGGTAACAGTAGTCACTCGCAAATATTAACTTTTAGAGATTGAAAACTTCATATTCTCAATATATTTTATTTTTTCAATTTCAATCAGTAATACATTCGAAACTTAAGATTCGGCGTATAAATAAAATGGGAACTTTCCGTTATTGAAGTCTTTGTATATTTTTCAAATTTGTTTGAGACATTTTTGATTATTTTTATTTAATTACATTCAAACACTAAAACATGTTACTTTCGAAAACTTTTTGAAAATTAAAACGTAGTGTACAAAAAACATAAAGAAAAGGTTACGCCTTTTGCATAGAAATTGAATTTGAACGATTTGGCAACGCTATCTTTTATTTCGTAAAAAGTATTTTTCACAAGCACATAGAAGCTTTTTTCTTAAGTTTTTGCTCAGCTTGCGGTCTATACTCCAGAATTTAAAAAATCCAAATAGGGGGAAAAAAAAACTATGAACTAAGCTCGTATTAAAATTGCGCGATTTTTTTCTAACGACATTTCTCTTAGAAATTCGTATTAAAATGAGGGCTGAAAATCCGGCAGCTGGTTCGGTTCATGGTTCAAACTAACTCCCTGCCCATAGGTTCTTTCGTTGTCTTCCCAAACATCAGTAGCCAAACGCTTTTTCAAAATCAATACAGTTTAATTAGGATTTAGGTTCAGATGTTATGATTTGGCTTAAGTTTCGGTTCATAGCAAGAAATGTTTTGAGGTTCCAGGCTGGAACTGGTTCGCCTACTGATTTGGTTTCGGTTCATAGTAAAAAGGTTAATTTGGTTTCGAGCTGGAACTGGTTCGACAACTGATTTGATTTAAGTTTCGGTTTATACAAACAAGTTAATTGGCGTTCCGTGCTGAAAATAGTTCGAAACTTGATTTGGCTTAAATTTCGGTTAATAGCAAAAAGTAAATGTTGGTTCCGGGCTTAAACTGTTTCAATTCAAAACTAGTTTGCAGCCTCCGAATAGATCTATTCAAAAGTGGGCCGATAATAATTGGTTTTCAATTAATATACTCGATAGCCGACAGTCGATAGCCGATAATCGAAAGCCGATAGTCGAT